CCTTTACTCATGAATGGCAACTATTTAGGAGCTTGTAAGCTTTCCCAGATTCACACCAATTCTCCAATGGACAAAGCCTCAGCCATACTCTAAAGAATGAAAAAGATGGCAAAACAACTTCCCCATTCGGAATCTAATGCAAACAAACCCCTGATGAGCAACTTGGACAACAACATCTCAAGAGTTCACCTCAGAGGTGGTTGTCAACACTTACTAGAGTCAATTCAAGAGACTATTTCAGCAGCTTTAGAGCAAAACATCATCTTTAAAAGATTATCAACAAACACAATCACTAAGTATAGCCACTGTTTGTGAAATTCAAGTCAAATGAAAGCAGCTAGGCATACTCAACAGGAGATAGCCGTTATTAAAAAGAAAGTGGAGAGAGGAAGGGAGAAAGGGAGGAAGAGATGAAGGAAGTGAGGGAGGGAAGAAGAAAGAGAGGAAGGCAAAGAGGGAAAGAAAGAAAAGAAAAATAAAAGAAGAGACAAACAAATCAGAAGTCAAATTTTAAAAAGAGTGAGGAAAACCAAAGCATGCTATACATTCCAAGGGTAAAGGCTGAACTCTAAGTACTAGAGGCTTTAGCATAATCTCCACAGCTTCCAGATCTATGACAATTTGCTTTGCTTATTTTCCCTAATAAGCTTAGAAATCATCATTTATTTTGTATTGACAGGTGATCTAATGGCCATGTTCTCAACTCACTACCCAAGGCTTCTACTACTATGTATCCTGTCCTTTGTTTTACTTGCTTGAAGATTTTCAATGTTTTTGTTTTAGATTCCACAGGAATGGCAACTGCTTAAAGCTTTTCTCACCTCTTGGGAAAATTTCTTTCAGGGGAAGTAACCCAGGGTGCCACTAATTGGCTTTACATAACAGTAGGCAAATTTAGCCTTAAAGCAACTGTGACACTGTTTGCCAATCAGCTCAAACACAGGTTACCAAAATCAGATTCTCTGCGAACCTCACAGATGTTTCTATTATGAATTCTAAAAACTATGTGGCTATTGACATAAGTATCCCTAATGCCTTTCCAAGCAACCTAATGATTCTTCTCATTTAAATATTCACTTCAATTTCTTGCAAACCCCAAGCTGGTGTTTCTAAGTGCTTCATTGAAAAAGATAAAAAATATCCATCATGCACTGATTGGAATGATAAATCTAAGTTCTAAACTTTGCCAAGAAAAAGAAAAAAAATGGACTTTTGGTATGCCTTCAAAATCAGTCGCCCCTAGGAATTTCCTGTACCATGCTCAAATTAGTTTTAATCCAATAGTGTATTATTTTGACTGACCTTGTACATATTTCTTAAAAGAATAGTTAAGAGATATTTTGCTAAGTAGATCATTTTCATGATAAAGATATTTAAAAAGAAGAAAATGCTTGTTTTGGGTGTAACACTCAGATAACTAGAATTTTTAAAAATCAAGTTTTTTGGTACCCATCTATGTTTCTACACAGATACAGAGCTAATGGTTCCTGTTGATTTTATAATTACTTTGGTTTATGTAATACATATATTTCATGATAATAAGCCATAAGAAGCAACATTTTGCTGTATTAACATGGCCTAGCCAAAAACAACAAGGGAAAGAAATAGCATTCAAAAAACTGGCAAAATGTTTATGAATTCTAATCCTCTGCACATGAATAAATACATCTGACAAAGAGCAGAGGCCCTCAAAAAGGCGCCTCTTGACCTTTCTAATTTGAGTTCAATTGCGTGTTCAGTGCTGAGAAACTAAAATGGGCTCTGCCAATGTTTTAAGTTCAAGCTTTACTACATTTTGTTATTTGTAGAAGTGAAATCCCAGATAATGAGTTATAATTGCTCTATTAATCACTTGAAAAAAGGGTTTGGAGAGAAACTGGGATTTGAAATTGCAATAACCAGTATCTGAAAGACATCCTTTTGTATTTTCTTACCTATAGCTTACCATTTAAAACTACTTTGAAAACTGCATATATGCACTTTTTAAAAAATGGTGAGTTATATGCAGTGTGCTTTATGTATTACTTTTCTGAAATAATGAAATTTAAAACTTCAATGTAGTCATAAGGATCTTTGACCTGGAAAAAAATACAGAAAACCAGGCCTTGGATTATAAATTATATTGTCAATGAAAGTGAGAAGAACTCATTCTTCAATGTGTTTCATGTATTATATTTTCATTTCCTTTTTCCAAATGAATTATAATGTACAACACGCTTGTATTTTTCTTTAATTTTTCACTTTTAATCATCTTCCTTTTTCTTAGCTTTGTTCTTCCATATACTGATAGACATGACACAACAATATTTACCTTTCAAAAATTCAATAATCCCATATTCATTTGTTACCTTTAAAGTATCTGCTAGGAAATCTATATTCTTGTTTATGTTCTCAAGAAAATTTAATGCAAAAATATAGAAAGGTATATACTATTTATACCTCCCTTCCTTTAGTTTATATTGAACACATTTTAGATTGTGTTTATGCAATTGAAGATCACCAACCAAAAGGGACAAGGTAGTATTTAGGGCTTCATAATAACTAACTCAAATTTACCATATAACATACATATTAATTAGTAAATTCAATGGTCAGTATAGCCAAAAATAATCATTTCAGTTAGCACTTACTGGAAATTTTAGCAATCTAAACACTCACATGGTCAGGTTTAATACTGTTCAGTGATACCTTTATTCCTTTCTCTGTCTCAGATCTGGTCTTTCTAAACATGTAGAGAAAAGGCACAGGTCTCAAACTTTAAATCAGGTGACATTATTGTCATTCTTTCTGTATTCTGGTCTCCAGTTAAATTCCTTTTCCTTCTTAGGCCAAAGGCTCTGTTTTTTGCAATATGTAGTAGATTATTAACGTTCAAACTCTTAATAATTGGTGATTTTCAAACAGATGCCTCCAGGGTAGCCAACAGCTACAGTATTCTCTCTCCTTTTTCTATCTTTTTGGAAGTCATCCATAAATTTAAGAGGGTGGTTTTAATAGCTAATTTAACATTTTGAGATATTTTCATATGGGAGTATTTAAGAATATGTAATCTCTCATATTACCATCAATTTTAATGTCACTAATTGCTCTATAAAAGCAGTTTATTTCATCTCCACAAAAAGCACATACACTAAAATGACCAGCGTTCTCCCTGTCAAAAGGGCATAGAATGGCAGCAAGGTACAAAACACACTTTGTTTTACAGTAAACACGGATAAATTAAGAACATGTAACTCCACACAACTGAATCTGTTCTGAGACATAATCATTTCTTAAAGAAAGAGATCATATGGGAGATCACTCTATTGTTATTGGAAATGTTCCCTTGGAAGAATAGAACTGGGCTAAGAGCAAAAGATTTTTTAAGAGAATAGAGACAGAATCTTTGAAATGTATGTGTTCAAAGAAAGCCAGTAAAATCCCAAATTTCCTTCCACATAGGCAGAAAAGTAGTCAACTTTTGCAATCAGATAACATTTCTTTCTGGGCAGGTCAATTATCCACGGAGCCACAAATCCACAACCTATTCTGATTTTCTGCACATCTGATGTAAGCCTATCAATGCAAATATTAATATGCTTCTGTAACATATTTCTATATTTAAAATCAAATAAGTGATTTCAGAATACGGGCATTCATGTGAAAAAAATGTTATCTGGGGGGCACAAAAGCATTCCAACATCAACTCATAAAATAAAAATAGCATTTATTTCTTGCACTCCCTTACCGCCACAAAAAAAATACTCAACATCCTGTTTGACATTATTGGCTTACAGGAATCTTGGAAAGACACTTAACATTTTAGAAAGTTTTACACACCTTGAACTGTGTGTGATCTGAAACAGCAGTACTTTGTTGATACTAATCATTAGATAATTACATCCTTTGGGTTATTGTGCTGTCTAAAATTAACAAGAATATAGTACTTGAGAAATACTTAAGTTTTCTCTCCCATATTTTTTCTTCAAATTAACAACATACATTTTTACTTCAATAAATATGAAAAATAATCATTTGGGAACACTACAGATTTGTAAGATAATGATGACAATAAGAACTATATGTTCTATGTGTAGAAGAAAAGGCACATTTTGTTTCATAAATACTACAGGCAAAGACATGCATTACAGTTAAAAATGATATAAATGATAGATTTTAAAAAAGATTTTGTATATGTTTAATGAGCAAAATCATATTGAAAATTCATAAAAGGCAAAATGCATCTGATAGTCCTAACACTACTATATAATCACTATAGAACATAGGTTAATTGATAATATTAATGAATACATAGAAACTTTGAAGTATTTGCTGAATTGCAACTGATTGGTTGAAAATGTTGCCATGAGTGCCATGAGCTGGAAGTGAACCTCCTAGCAATTGGATCTGAATTCTGCAGAGTAGTCAGAAAATATGTTGCAATGTAGCCATGTGATGTAAGAGAAAAAAGAACGGTCTTTGGCCATTTAGATTCAAGTTCATATCTCAGATCTTATAATGCATTCTGACTGCATGACTTTGAATGGATTTCTCAACATTTTTGAGGCTCATTCTCACCATCTGTAAGATGGCAATATCTATCTCTTGGCATATAGAATTCTTAAATGGTGACAAAAATAGTTTACCAATTTTTAAAATAGTTTTCTTTCCCCTAGAAATAACATAATCCCACAAGAAATCTAGACAATTTTTAAAGTTTTATTTCTTATTCAATGTTTCTATGCTCATTAGTTGGGTCAGTGGACAAAATGTTCTTATTTTTGAGCTCTGTGGCTAACCTGATTGAAGGGAGCGAGTGTTACACAGATTCTATACCGGGAATAACACTGTAGTATATAAGAACATGTAAACTCATCTAAGCCTTACCTTATTTCATAATGGTAAGAGCAAGGTTAAGCTTTCTGAGTATGAGGAATTTTTTTAAATTTAAAAATATGCATGCCTACATCCCTGATTCTTTACCCCTGCCCTTTTCTATTTTTACTTTTTTTTTTTTTTACCTCATTTCCTAGAAGGGCATTTACACAGGCTTCTGATGCATCACAGATGGCTGTGAGATCATGTCCTCCTTCTAGAGCCAACACCACACGTCCTTCAGCCAATGTCATCAATTGCTTCGTCAAATGACCAAAACCTACCATAATACAAACAGAACATTTCAAAGTTTTAAATCAAGAGAAAATGATCACTAGAACCTAACACTGATTGAGCATGTATTGCAAGTAAGTCATTACTAAGCATTTTCTGGGTGCGAACTCATTTAATAATCACAATAACTTTATGGATTAGGTCCTATTACTATCTCTATTTTACAGACGAGGGACCCAAAGCCCAAGATCCCACAGATAGGAAGTATCACAACCAAGACTTGCACTGTTTGGTTCTTTACCAGTGCACAGTGCTGCTTTTCATAATATAATCTGTATGTATCTGGATAAAAAAACTGAATATTATTCAGCCAGTGTTAACAAGGCAAACTGTTCTATTTGCTTGCCATATGCTTCCTGTCTCCATCATTGGCCTTTATCATGGAAAGTTTTCTATATCCGAAATTAATATCAAATTACTACAAATTTAAATTATCTAATATAATTATTTACATATATAATGTAATATAAAGTCTATTAAATTATATTTCTATAAGCATTATTTTATTATGAAACATTTGATAAATGCAAAATATGAGTAACATCTATACATGTTATAAAAAATAATAATTTGACAAATGTCTGCTTTTCCACCTTCCAACTTAAGGAAAATTATGTTAGCAACATTTTTTAAACATTCATGTGCCTCTCTCTGATAGCAGCTATCCTCCTCCTTCTGGGAGATCAGGATCCTGAGTTTATAATTTCATTGTTTTCCTTTGTTTAATTTGCTTGTTTTTGAACTTTATAAAAATGTTTTTCTACATTTGCAATTTGATTTTTTCGTGTATTTTGTTAGCTTGTCTATGTTGATGTCTGCAGCTATAGTTTTTTGGCTGTCTAGTAGGCCATTTTATGTCAAGAGAGGTTATTTACCCCTTCTTCTATTGACACAGAGTTTGTTTTCTTCTTATCACCAAATTCCAGATTTTTTCTTTTTTTTTTTTGGCATTACAAATAATGTTTCCATGAACATTCTTACACAGTTCTTCTGGTGCACATATGCATATGTGAAATGGAATTGCTGAGTCTTAAAATCTGTTAAATAATGCCACATTATTTCCAAAAAGCTATTACTAAGCCCCACTCTCAGAAACAGTATATATGAGAATTCCAGTTAGGTCACATCCCTGCCAACATTTGGTATGATTTGCCAAGTAGGTGGTAAAAAAAAATGGCATCTTACTGTGGTTTCATTTTGTATAAGAGGGAAGCTTTCTATTTCTAAAGTAGACATTTTATTATAAATGTAATTTAATCTAATTAATTCTTTACACAGATATACTTTTGCCCATAATTTGATAGTGTTGTTACATTAATATTTCAAATATGAAGCCATCATTACATTTATGAAGTAAACTTGGTCATAATGTATTATCTTTTTAATACACACCTGGATTTGTTTTGTTAATGCTTTCTTTTAAGATTTTTTTTTTATATTCATGAATGGGGTTAATCTGTTATTTTCCACTCCTGTATTGACCATAATGAATTTTGATGTGGTTGGGACCCTCTATTTTTATTACCTGACCCCAAAATGTTGGGGAGAAATCTTCTATGAAAACATATGGGTCTTGCGTTCACTTTGAAGATTTTTAACTATTGATTGAATATTTTAAGGGATTATATGAGTACACGTGGTTTCTATATCATCCTAAGTTACATTTGTACAGGAGTTTCTTTCAGTTCTTAAATTTGCTGAAATATAATGTTTATTTACTCTATTATCTTATTTTGAAATTTCAAATAGATGAGGTGGATAATTGTCTGTAAATGTTTCCTTGATCTCTTTTCTTTCATATTTTCCATCTCTCTCTCTCTGTCCTGCATTATGTATATTTTTGATTCAGAGCTATCTTCCAGACTTTCCCTCTTCAGACATCTCTAATCTGCTAGATCACATCTTTAGTTTTTTTGCTCTATTTCTGACTTATTGCTTATTATTATACTTTTTAACTCCTTATGTTTTTTCTTCCTTTATTTAAGCATAATTATTTTATATAACTGACATTTGAAATCTTTTGCTCTCTGTTGTTTATGCTGATTTATGTTCATGCTGCCTTAATTTTCTTGTTTTTTAAATTTTTATTAATTTATTTAATTTGTAAAGTAGTTTGAGCTCATATTCATTGTAACTTTATATGTTAAAAATCTTTGAAGTTTGGCACAATGGACTGACTGACTGTGAACACAACCCAAAATTTATATGTGGAAATTCTAAACTCCAATGTGATGCTATTGAGAGGCGGCCTTTGGTAAGTAGGTAGAGTCCTCGTGAATGAGCTCAGTACCCTTACAAAAGGGACCCCAGCTCTCTTGTTGCCTTCTAAGGATCCAAGGAGAAGCTGGCAGTCTTTTATCCAGATTAGGCAAAGTTCTCATGAGATTAGTACCCTTACAAAAGGGACCCCAGAGAGTCCTCTAGCTCTCTGGTTGCCTTCTAAGGATCCAAGTAGAAGTTGGCAGTGTTTAATCCAGAAGGTCCTCACCAGAACTGATCATGCTAGCAGGCTGATCTCAGACTTACAGCAATCAGAACTGTGAGAAAGAAATTTCTGTTGTTTGTAAGCTATCAGTTTATTATACTTTGATATAGCAGCCTGAACCAAGACACCTGGGTTGAAAGTAATACCTGTCTTTCAAAAGCGTGATATTGTTTGCTTCTGTTGGATATCTGGGACATAACCATCCAGGATCTATTTTAAATTCTTATATTGCAGGACTGGCTGTGGAGTTTGCTGTTGTTGTTGTTGTTGTTGTTTATACATGTATATTATAAACACAGACCTTAAAACTTTATTACAAATTCTCACGGAGAAGAAAGCCAGGGCATTTTTCCTTTTATTTCTCCTTTCCCTTCCCTTCCCTTCCCTTTCCTCTCCTCTTCCCTCTTCTCTCCCCTCTCCCCCTCCTTCCCTCTTCTCTCCCCTCTCCCCACTCTCCCCCTCCCCGCCTTCCTCTCCCTTCCTTTTTCTCTTTCTCTCTTACATTCTTTCTCTTTCTGTGAAACTTTCTTTTGAAATTCCCTTTATTGATAGCAAAAGCTAAGATAGAGGTGATGTTTTATTTAGGAATATTTTCCTTTCTCCTATTTATTCTTTTCCGAAGTGTTGGCCCTTTGTCACTCTTTCTTTATTCTGGTCTCCAATTAAATTCCCTTCTCCACTTAGGCCTAAGACTCTGACCCTCTTTTGCAATATGCAATAGATTATTAACATTCCAGCTCTTGGAGAGATTTTGGTATAGATTCTCCAGATTCTTGGAGATTTTGGTATAGATGTCCCCAGGGCAGTCAAAAGCTTCAGGATTCACTCTCCTTTTTTTTTATCTTTTAGAAGTCACCCATACATTTAAAAGGATGATTTTAATATTTAATTCAGCATTTTGAGATATTTTCACATAGAAAGGTTTAAGAATATATAATCTCTCATACTGCCAAATTTGAATGTTTCTCATTCAACATTTAGAAAAAATTATCATGGCATCCTGTCCAGTTTCAGGGGCAACTGCCAACAAGTAGGGTAAGTAAAAATAAATAAAAACATGTGTTTCAAGAGAACATTTAATTTTTTATATGCTTTGTGAACTTACAGCAAAA